AGGTTAACAGAAGACATTTCTGAAAGGAGTGATTCTTCTGTAATTAAAAAAAAAAAAAAAAAAGGAGAACACAAATGGCATTGTTCAAGAGACTGGTAGCTCATCAAGAAATCCATCTCCTCTTCCTGGGCAGGGAGCCAGACCACATTTCCCAGCCTCTCTTGCAATTAGGCGTGGCTTTGTGGCCAGATTCTAGCCAATGGGACGAGAGCAGGGAAGTAAGCCACTTCAGGCCTGGCCCGTAAAAGCCTCCAGGCATGGTTATCCGGGCCCTTGCCCTCCCTGCTGGCTGAGGCAGAAGAGCCCAGTGACCTCGGAGGGCGCCTGCCACAGGATGGAAGGAGCCTGGGTACCAGAGCCGCTGCTGCTAGGGGAGCCCTCTCCTCATCAGGAACACCCGTTTTGGACTTTACACCAGCAAGAAGTAAATATTTATAGTCTTTGAGCCATGATACAGTTTGCTCTGAGTAGCCTCCCTAAACTGATATAGGCGTAATGCCTGGCACGCTAGGCAGCACTGGTGAGTTGAGCAAAGGTGCTGAGAACTTCGGAAGTCCGCTTTAATTTCCATTATTTGTATGTCATGTCATGTGAAGTGACCAGTTGGTTCCCAGAATCGATTTAAGTCATGCTAAAATATGTGGCCAGAGCTTTTTAATGTATCGTTTCTAATTGATGCAAGTGGTTTATTGCGTTCAGTGTGGCCTCTCTCCTTTGATTTAATGAGCTGCGTGGGGCCTCAGTTGGTTTTAAAGGGACTCTATGGAGACTTAAATATTCTGAGTCCTTATTTCAAAGAAGTGTAAATACAGTTTCCATCATGCAACCTCTCTGTTCAGAAGCCTGTAATCACTTTTTATCATATAGCATGTTGTTTATTATTCCGGCCTCCAGAAAGTCTGGGTCGCGCCCTGACCTACGTTCTCTCAGGGGAGCCCATGCCTCCAAAGACCTTGTGCTTGGTACACAGAGAGTTACTGAGTTTCTGTACTGCCACCATCTGCTCATTTTAGCCTTTAATAAATCATGTATTAGTTTTTCATTACATTTTTTTTTTTAGTATCATCTGCAACTTTAGAGTACTTTCTGAAGTCAGGGAGTATATTTTATAGAGCTTCTGTCTCCCCCCTCTTGGGTGCTTCTGGAGACGCTGGACACTATATTAATTGAGTAACCATCCCTGTAGTTTCTTTTAATTATCTTGCTTGGATTTACTGGAATCGTTTTTTATTATAGTTTATGTTAACAGACAGACATGCTTTTTTAGTCTGTTGGGAATTCATAGAATTCTGGAGGATTGTTAGGACTGGAAGGATCTTTCAAGTGAATTCCTGATCTTTTAGACCATCTGCTTTCTGATACTCAGGCTGTGGCCCCGAATCATGGCACGGACATTGCCCGGGGGCCTCTTAGAGGCACGGTGTTGGGCCACACTCAGACCTGTGAGTCAGAGCTGCATTTAACAAGGCCCTCAGGTGACCCGCGTGCACATTAAAGCTGGAGATGCTCTGTTGAAGGTCAACCCTCCATTTTGCTTCTGAGGAAACTAATGAAAGTAGGGAGTTGCCCAGAGTCACATAGCTGGTTTATCTTAGTGGTTCCTGTCCTTGTATACGTCTTGGGATGGATCATTTGGGAACCTTCAGAAAATACTGATGCCTGGGTCCCAGCCCTGCATGTGCTGACTTAACCTGGTCAGGGCTGCAGCCTGGGTCTCAGCATTCAGCACATCTCCCTGGACTGTGGACACGCAGACGGGCAGAGAGCCGCTCATCTGGTTGTTTAGAGAAGCCAGCTTTCTTGATGGCTTCTGTCAAGGAGGCCTTTTACGTCACGCATGGATATACGTTCAGAAATGGTGTTTTCCCTGCCTGATTTCTCACAGTAGCGCACCACCCACTTTATATCCATGACGTTACCCCGCTAACCCTCCCTGTCCACTTCCCCCACGGGCAGGTACCCCATGAGGGTAGGCCCTTTGTCTGTCTGGTTCACTGCTAGGTACCAACTCCTAGCACAGTGTCTGGTACACGTTAGGCGCCCCTTTAATAATTGTAGAACAAATAGAAGGAGTTATAAAGAGGGAAACGCGGGCTGCTGGGATGGCACTGGCAGGGCTGCCTAACTCGGTCATTGGAAGGCTCCCGAAGGACGGTTGAGCTGAAGAGTCAGCCAGGGAGGACAGCATGGAGACGTGCAGCTGAGGGCGGACTTGGACCCAGATCTGTCTGCCCTTGAACTTGTGTTTTTCGCACTTAGAGCTTTGTCCTGGGGACAGAGAGGCCGGCTGTTTGCTTCAGACCTTAGCAGTTCCTGGGATTGGGATGCAGACTCTCAGACCGGGTACTCCTTCCTCCCAGAGCCACCTCTGGCGTTGTGCTGTGAACAGGCTTTAGAAATGCTTGTAAGGGTCCGTGGAATGAAAGGGCCTAGCCGGACTCTGGCCTGTGGGTCTTCAGTGTAAGGTAGCCATTTCTCATGGAAGTTTTCTTGTGTTTTAGCTCCTTTCCCTTGAGCACCTGGTGTTTTTCAAGGATAGAGTGACCGGATTTCACTCCCAGTGTTTGTGAGGGAGTTTCTTTTCTGGTTAACTATTAAGACTTCGTTATGCCAGTGCCGAAGAGAACTCACGGTTGACTGTTCTGGTATTTCTGTTACTTTTTCTTTTTTTAGTGTATAATTTTTTCTGATTTGTTACTTGGTATATTTTACTGCTCATTTACCTATTGAACTCTGAAGTTAGGTGCATGCGTGTAAAAGTCCTTTTTTATGAAGCCATTCATTAGTGTGTCCCACTGTACGTTAGTAATTTTTAAATCTTTTGACATTCAGACTGCTTTTAAGATGTCTTGTTAAGTGGTGAACTTATACTATCTGTTTTTGGTAATAGGAAGCCAGAAAATGTTAAGCTCTGAATGTAAGACATTCTTTTAAACATAAAAGTTTCAAGTTTCCATTCCAAAACGACATTAAGATGACAGGTTGCGTTATGTGGTTAGAAGGTTGTGGCTGGCGGTTCTTGCAGATGTTACTCGAAGTCAGACTGCTGCTGGTTTTTAATCAGCCCCTCCTGATAATGCCCACACCCACACTCACAGTCACGGGAAGATATGGATGTTGATTTTTGCAAAGGATGAGTGAATTCTGAGCTTAGACCGTAGTGTATAGGGAGAATCCCTACGTTGCTAATTAGTCAACACCATTGTTGATTAACTCAGACAGAGGGATGGTAAAAGTTCTGGAACAAGAATTTTCTAGAAACAGTAGGTTAAGGAGCTGATGGTTATTCTGGTTGCTAGCAGTCACACTTGGAGAAAGACCTCATCTCTGATGAAGCGTTTGATCATTGATATAAGGAGAGGGAAGTTGAAAATTCACAGAGGTCAAGTTTAATCAGATTTCAACACTCTCTTTGGCCCTAGAAATTTAGGCAACAGTTAGTTCTTAGAAAGTGTTAACATTGTTAAAGATTATTCTTAGTAAGCACAGAAACAGTAGCACTTCATATTTGTGTTGTAGTTTTGAATTTATTTATTATTTATTTATTTCTGAGAGAGAGAGATAGAGATAGATAGACAGACAGACAGACAGTGTGAGCAGGGGAGGGTCAGAGAGAGAGGGAGATACAGAATCTGAAACAGGCTCCAGGCTCTGAGCTGGCAGTCAGCACAGAGCCCGACGTGGGGCTTAAACCCACAAACCGTGAGATCATGGCCTGAGCCGAAGTCGGATGCTCAACTGACTGAGCCACCCAGGCGCCCCATGTAGTTTTGAATTTAAAGTACTTTTGTATGCATCACCCCGTGGGAGTCTCCCGGGCAGCCCTGTGAGAGAGGAGAGGCTCCGTCAATGCCCTTTTTGATGAGGTCATACAGACGTTAGTTTACTTTCCCAAGGTTAGCTGGCAGGTGAGGGAACTGAGCTTTTCACATTTTAAATTTAAAATGTTAAGGGTGGTTGTTGAACTTACAAACTGTCCTTGGTTTTCTAAGTATATAAGTATGTGGTTTATAATGCAGGATGAATAATCTAAAAACTTTTTTAATACTGCATCTGAAGAAGGATATTTTTAGGACCGAAATAATTGACTGGCAAGACTCACAGACATTTTTTCCTTTTTAAAAAGTTACTGTTGTATAGTGTTTTTTTTTTTTTTTTCCATGAAAACTTTAATTTTATCTACATGAAGCAGCCTGAGATCAGAGACCTGGGCTTCCAACTTCCTCCTGACTCACTGCACCTGCCGCACTGTTAGTTGGCGCTCGTTAGGGCCTTCCAGATGAGTTGGGGGTCGGGCTCACTGTTGGGAGATGGTTTGCATTGTAACTGCAAAACGAATACGGCGCTGGTTCTTCTTAGCAAACGTGTCCTGTTTGGACAGCACATGTGGTCCCTATTAGAAAAAGTTATACACATAGTATGTGTTTACCAGCCTGTATCTTTTTTTACACATGTATATTTTAAATTTTGGAACACTCTTAAGCCTACAGAAAAATTGCAGGTGTAGTGCAAAGAGCTCTTTTCCCCCTGAACTGTGTGAGAATAAGTTGCTGATGTGTTTCATCATCCTCAAATACTTGCTTATGTATTTTCTGCAAATGAGCGCATTCTCCTCTGTAACCACTATGTAGTGAGCAAAATCAGGAAATCAGCACTGGGACAGTTCTACCCTCTGATCCTCAGATACTCCCGCAGCAGGGCCCGGTGACCCTGCACTGACCTTTGTAGAGAAAGGTCCAGTCTGCACCCTGGGCCATACTGCATTGTCTCCTCAGACCCCTTGAATACAGAACAGTTCTCAGTCCTTTCTGACTCTCCTGACCTTCACACTCTGGAAGATTACAGGCCAGTCATTTTGTGGAATGTTCCTCAATTTGGATTTGTCTGATGTTTCCTCATGATTAGATTCAGGTTTTGCATCTTTGGCAGGAATATCACAGAAGAGCCAGTATATATCTTTTTCAAAGATTAGTTTTACATTTTATTTTCTGTTTCCTTAGAGCGTTTCCCAAAGTGTATTCTGCGGAACTAGCACCTACTGTGTTCTCAACACCGTGCCACCTCTAGAAGGTAGGATTCGAAAAGCTTTTGACTTACAGGAAGGGGTGGGCTTGGCAGTGAGAGTAATTCCATCCTGGTAGTGCAGTGGGAATAGCCTGTGACCAGGCCTCGGGAGACCTGGGTTCTGCCTTTAACTTGCTGTGTGATCTTAGATGAGTTACTTAATCCTTCTGGGGACAGCAAAACAATACTCCCTTCACGAAGCTTCTGTGGGGTTTCAAAAAGGCAAAGGGTTTAATCACATGGGAAATCAAAGCCCTCTGCAAGTGTTAGATACTAACACAACAGTCGTAGAATCCTAGTGTCCAGTTCCTGTGACTCCGAGTAGGAGCCGCATGCTACTGTGGGAAAAGCCACATTGAGTCACTTACTACTGCAGCTCCTGGGCAAGCTAATCTGAACCTTGGGTTCTTCATCTGGAAAATGGGCGTAATTATGCCCTGGTGGGCATTTGTGAAAATTAAATGAGAGAACGCAATGTAAAATTCTTCCTGGATGCCTGACGTAGAGTCCCATGCATGTTTACTTCTGACTAAATAGTAGAAGATAAGTTTACTTGATCACATGTAGCTCAAATTGAAGTGGGATGGAATGGAGCAGGAGAGAACGCCCTCAAACCCAAACTGAAGCAGTTGCTTGCAAACCTCTCGTGCTCCCACTTTATCGGCCTCCGCTCGCATATTTTTAATTTGAAAATGTAAATGCAAATGAATAGTGAGAAGTTTATTTGAACCCAAGTTAGGAGTTGACCTAAACCTGGACCAGAGATTTTGGTAGTATGATTGACAGGGAGAGGGTAAATATGGGCCACCTAAAAAAGAAAGGGTAAGATGTGATGATCACACACTTGAAGAAGAGGACTGGGGTTGTTAAATAGCAAAACTAGTTACGTTTTCTTTAAACAAACAAACAAACAAACAAACATAAAAACCCCTTAGTTTTTCAACTTTAAAAAAGTCTTTTGGATAATTACAACTGAGTTCAATTCACTTTGGAGAATTTCTTTTAGAGAGATACCATACCGATGCTTGGCACGTAATTAAGCACATTGGTGCTTAATTAATATTTATTTTGGATGTGTAGCAATTTGAAGGTCTTAGGTTAGTAATGGTGGTATTTGGTGCTGTGAGCACTGTGCTGACTTGAATATAACAATATGTGCTTATGTTTTCCAGAGTCAGTTCCTATCCTACTAATTAAATCTAAGCACATAATAATTAGAGCGGAACAGAAAAATTGTAGAGCTTCCTTTTAATTTCACCATTCCAAGTTGTTGATCAAATATATTCCCGATAAGATTTAGCAACTGGATATATTGTTATACCAACTTATTTTGAACAGTTTGGCCTAGAGGTTGAGAGATTAATTGTGATCAACTTGATTGAATCACAGTGTTCATAATTATTCACCAAAATTATTTAATTTTTATTAATTACGAATCAAAATAAAATGGATGTTACCATTTCCAGGTTGGAGTTAATATAATTTCCCTTACAGAAGTCAATAGTGTGTTCCAAAGAGAGAGTCCAAATAGATATCTTTGGATTTAAATAAAGGATTTGGTAATGTGACTTTTAGCGTTTAGAAATAAAACATGAAAACAAGAAGTCTGCTTTTTGCCTAATTAAGCGAATGAGCATTTTTGCACATTTTAGAGAGTTTTAGTTATACTGTGCCTCTAAAATTATTGTTTGGAAAATATTTGAAGGTTGTCTGGAAAAGATGGTTCATTCTCTAGAATTATAGCTGTCAGCCAGGCACATCATCTGTCAGTTTCAAGAGCTTCACTAGTTATTTTTATTGTGAAGTAGGTTAGAAAATTATTTTGCAAAGTCATATATCATACACGCATATTTTGCCAGATAATGATAATGAAATGTTTTACTCTATTTGGTTGACACTTCCATTTTGCAGTGTCAAAGTTTAACGATTTGGATTAAATGCTGAGATGGAGCTGAGACCAGTATATACCTTACTTTTACTGTTAACTCAAGATCCTGTTACAATCTTAGTACTGAGATGGAGATTTAAAAACTGGCACATGTATTTATCTAATTATTGTATCATTTATAGTCCTTCCCAAAACATTAAAAAGCAGCTTTTAATTAAAAAACACAGTTGTACTGTATAGCCACGTGAGCAGTTCTTTTCCAGGGTAAAAGCAGTTACTCTTTATCATACCGTAACTGGGAAAACTGAAATTTGGAAATACGAGTTTTAAGATTCTGCCTATTTGAGTTCTAGTATTCTTTACCCGTATTAAAATTGCCATCTTCATAATGCACAGTGGGAAAATTTACCCATTGTTATGTTTCTAAAAAACATCCAATTTATATTCAGCATGAACCTAAAATTCTGGAAATAGCACAGTTTAAAAACTGATTAAGGGGAACCCATTGGCCTGTCATACTCCTCTTCCTTTTGAACCCATGGCTGCACATCCCCATAAAATGCTATATTTGGAATTGTGATGGAGACAGTGCTTACACAGCCATTCTCCTTTGCCTCTTTAAAAGCCTTTGGGCCGATTCACCGCTGCCTGATTTGGTATCAGAGTGGAAGACAGAAGCGTTTTCTGTGGCAGTTAGTTGTGCTGTTGAGAAGAGTATCTCTTTTCTCTCACCCCACGTGCATGCACACATACACATGTGTATACGTACACATGTGTATGTACACATAGGTACACACAGGTAGGGGTGCACATACACACAAGCATGTTTTATACTCACAGGACAGCTGGGTCCCTCAAGGAGGCTTAAAAGAGTAGATAATTAACATCAGGCGTGATCACAAACATAAAACTAGAAGCCGGGGTTTAATACGATGCTCGTTATTGTCCAGAATTCTCCTTTAAATAATAGTTTGCTCAGAGATATGACTAGTCCTGTACAATTCACAGTGAGCCAGCTGATCGAGCACCGAGTGTAGCGCTGTTTCCAGAAAAGACATCCGGTAAATGGGGGACTATTTGAATTGAGAATAGATTTTAGAATTTCCCTTCTGCTTTCAGAATGGTACACATCATGGGAGATTTTTTTAGAAAATGAGAATGAAACCACTTTAGAGGAAGAGAGAAGGGAGGCGAAGGCTCCTGTGATTTGGTATTCTGCGCTTTAAAGTTTTATGGCCCATGGTGCCTCCCTCGGGAGGATGAAGTGCAGGGAGCACGCGTAAGCGCATAGCATCACACCAGTTTATAGTGCGTAATTAATCCAGAACTTTCTATGAACATTATCTTAGTTGAACCTTCATTTTCGGATTTCATAGCAAGATTTTTTTAAGAGTTTAATTTTATTTTGCCATTAAAATTTTGGATTCTTAAAAGCAGTCAGTTTTCAAGTTTTTCAAGTTTTTATACTGCTTATAGAAATAGAGGTTTGGGCCTTATAATTCAATTGGTTGTGTAGTTCATGGACCAAGAAAGATTTAGTACGCTAAAATTCTCTTAAGTTCCTCCTTTAAAATATTTCCATATGATGCCGTAAATTTTTTCAAATTTTTTCTGTGCCCAGTATTTTTCTGTTGAGATCTTTTCCTTGAGAAGAAGTGTGTTAATCAGATGACAAATGTTTGGAGAGGATTTTATTGTGACTATAGAGAGTTTTTTATTCTTTTATTTTTTTCACATGTTCAAAAAATAGGCTATGCTAAATAAAATGACAGGAAATGACTGGAAAAATACACTGTTGTATTTCACTTTTAATATTTTTAACAAATTCCTGTATGCCTATATAAGGTTCTTTAATTGTAAGGCATTTAAATTTATTGAATGACAGTAAATTTCACAGGGATTTATGCCTGGAGGAGAACTGGAGTTTACTTAATTCTCCTTCATTTAGAAAACCGATGATATTAAGTAACTTACCCAAGGTCACACAATTAGAAAGTAGCAGAACTGGGTCAGAATTCTGGACTCTTGATTTGGAGTTCAGTTTATACCTTTTCATATCAGAATAAGTTATTTTAACCATGACTTTCTGGAGCAAATTCAGTCTTTAGTATTTTAATGTATTGCTCCTAGTACCTGGTTATGCATTGCACTCTTTGGATATTGGGGCTTCCATTTTGCATTAATAAAAACCAAACCAAACCAAACCAAAAAGTTGGACCGGGTAATTTGAAACTTTGACCTAAATGTGCCAAAACGGGCAAGAAATTTTGAGCCAGGCGAAGAGACTTTGTTATGGGGATGAAACAAGAAATGATCTATGTATGAATGAGTGAATGAAATGGTCTCTTCTATAAAGTATCCGGGAGACTGATTATCAGATAGTCAGACACATCATCTTGTCTGAAAGTAATGAACTTTTTTCTCACTGATTCTGAAAAGTTACATTTTGATGAAAGACATTAATGAAATAGATATGTATATGTAAATCAAGTTAATTAAAATGATATGTTTTTAGATTTAGGCCAGAAGGACCAGCCTCTGTATTTAGCCAACTGTAGCTTAAGATTCTTTATATTGATAAGATTTGTAATTTGCTTTTGAAAGGATAAGTCTCATTTGTATTCTAGGGGATGCAGCAGTATTAGTTTATGAATAAAATAGTCATTTGATTCTAATTCCTCTTCCCTAAAAAACTGAAAACTTTTTCAACTGGTTATTAGAAGTTTTCAGGGTTTTTGTGAGGTTAAGTCCTTTTTGCAATTTGGCTGTACTTCATGGAAACCTGGTGGGAGAACCTTTAAAAGTAATGTTCTGGTTATGGGCAGCTGCTGGGATATTCCCTGTTCATTCGCTTGTCACGGAGCAAAGGCTCCATCTTATTTTAGAGCCTCTTGACCAGATTCCTGCTGCCACCTATCTGATCAGTGTGTAAATGAGCGATGTTAACCAGGAGGGGCGGTGCTCTTGGTCTCACAGTGACCAAACTAAGCTGCCGTTTCTGACCTTGCCAGTATACTTAAAAGGAGATTATCTCTATTATTTTCTCTGAATCTATTGTTTTCTTCTTTATAGATGATCATGGGAACAGCAATAGTAGTCATGTAAAAATCTTTTTACCGAAAAAGCTGCTTGAATGTCTGCCGAAATGTTCAAGTTTACCCAAAGAGAGGCACCGTTGGAACACTAATGAGGTAGATAAATTTCTATTTTTAGGGGTGTAATTATTTTAAGGGCAAAATTGTTAGGTCATTTTGCACAGTACTACTTTTTATTAGCTTTAAGATCAAAATACTGAACTAGGAAGTTGTAAATGAGAAGAGTATTTAATCTGGGTTTAACAGAAACCAGCATGTTTCTGGAACATGTTTCTCTAATCTGCTTGGCTTGTGTTGACAAATATAAAATGTGCACGCTGACTTACTGAGGTAGCATGAGCTACTGTGTTTGTGTGTTCTTGCATTTTGGCGGCTTGCGTTTGGTGGCTAACTCGGACCGCATCTCAGTTAAATGCTAGTTCTTAACGTTGTCGTGAATTAATAAAGGTACAGCTCCCGTGTCCACAGAACATGCGGTGTCTTGACAGTGGGACGTGGCTGTACGTTTGGGAAGGGCAGGTTTCTTAGCAGCAAAACAGCCCCCAGTCCTCTGTGATGAAGGGTTTGCATGGAGACCTAGTGGGTTTACCTTAATGATAGGAGTTTTTATTAAGAACAGAGGCTGTACGGTAGATTGTGTACTCGGCATCTGATTAGAAGATTTGGTAAAGGAGAATGAGAGGATCTTCCTGGAGGGTGACTGTTTCTTTTTTCTTTTTGCTTTTCTTTCTTTTTTTTTTTTTTGGTAAATCTTCGTCTGGGGGGGTCTTGATATTAGGGATGGACCCCTTTGTCATCTTTCTTTGTCATCTGTTTTGAAATCTGAGTGTTTCAATTTAGGGTGGTACCCATTTAGTGTGGCTGGATGAGAAATGGGTATGTGTCCGTCAGTCTGGGAATTCTACTCCTTTAATTCAGATGGCTGTGATTACTGGCTTTCCAGCGTTGATCTAACTCAGTTTGTGTTGCTGGTTCAATATTCACTTCCAAGTCAAGTTAAATACAACTCCCTCTGCACTGGGCTCTCAGTTTTGTTAAGAGACATAAGAAGACAGTGCTGCCTGTTTACCTTATTTTTGCAAGATTATTTTGCTCTAACTTCTTGACCTCAAGTGCTTTTGTTCTGAGTTTTAAGAGGTTCTGTGGGTGAGATATCTCTACTTACTCCAGTTTTCAGATTTAAATACACACTAGACCCTCGTACCTTTGTTACCTTGTCTCAACTGATTTAACTTTCTTTTGAGGTATGTATATTTTGATTATTTGCATAAATTACATTTCCCCCTTAGACAGAATGCTTTCACCTTGACAAACATTAACTAGTTGAGAGGCCTGTTGTTTTAATCAGTCATTGATTAACTTTTGTAAACGTGAAAACAAAGTGAATATGCTGAAAATTAGTCTTAATCATAGATCATTTCTCTCTAAACAAAATAGTATGATTTGGGAACCGTTCAGTAGGTCATAACTAGGTCATGAATTATTTAAAACCTCAGTATGTTTCCTAGTTTTGCCTGCAACATGGATCTGCTACCATACTATTATACATTAGCTCCAGTTTATTTTCTAAATGAAACAAAAACATGTAATCGGTATGTATTTTTTTCAATATTATGTTTTACATGAAATTGGCAATTTATTTTTAATTATGAGTTGAAACCGTATTCAAAACCAGCCAGTGCTTAATTCAAATTCGTGGTCTTAAGGGTCTTCTGAAGCTGGAGTCCCAGTAGCCGAAGCTCACTTGGTGGCCTGGATCGGTGCACAGGCCTTCGCCTTTCACGTCTGTTCACCTCCAAGGGTTGACACCTTCCACTTGACCCTTACTGCAGATCCAGTATAAAACACCTGACAAAGAATTTTTATGGAGGATGAGATTAAAAAGAAGACACGGAGCTCTTCTGTACTTTCTCCTGGGACCCCGGCCTACATGGCTTCTCGGAGACCACAGTGTCGTGAGAGTCTGCGTCCAGGGGGGAGACCGCCATCCCCTCTCTGGTGAAACAGACGCCTGGGGTCTCTGAGACACACGGCTGGTTCGTGGACGCTGTCTCTGCTGCCAAAAACGCCCGTGAACACAGCGTGTTCGTAGGGCTGGCTGGAGGCAGCAGGGGTGGCTCAGCCTGCGGGGGTCGAGGCGCGCACCCTCTTCCCTCCCGACCTGTTCTCTCAGGTCTTTGCCAGTCCCACCCTGACAAACACTCTTACGAGAGAACGGACTTTAAAGGCTGGCCCATATTTCATTTCAATGCAGAGGACATTGGCTTTCTTTCTTGTTTATTTTTGGCTTTAGGAAAAACGGGAATCTTGGAGTGACAGCTGGACTCAGGAGTCCTTCACTCTGCAGTGTTATGTGCCGATGGTAACCTGGCTTTTTTTTTTTTTCTTTTTCTTTTTAACTGGCTTGGCTGATTGGAACAAAACAGTCAGTACTTCTGTTAAAGTGCCTACTCCTTTGATCCAGCCGGGGCCTGGCACTTCCCCGCGTTCTTCAGCCTGCCGGCCCGCACACTGACACCGAACCCCACCGAGGCGTGCTGTGTGCACTTGACTCTCATTGGGGCATCAGGCCCTGTGTAGGGCAGAGGCGCGCGTAGTCAGACTTGCTCGTAGGGCCTCTTGAATTGCTCGTGGAGTGTAGTCCTCCTGCCCTTAGCCAGGGCCTGCTTCCCTCTGGGGTTGGATTAGGTCGCAGTGTTCTGCCGGAGGCCCCGGTGAAGAAGTCGTCTTGTATTTAGGAGCAGTGTTGTCCAAAAACTACTTGAGATCCCCCTTGCTTGGAACGAGGCGCCCCCACTGGGAGAGGTGGGAGGAAGGGAGAGCGGCGGGGAGCATGGCCGATCCTCCTTTTCCAGGTCTCTGCTCTGCCCATGTTTGCATGGCAGCCTGGTGGCCGGAGTTGCCTGTGGGAGGTGTCCCCGTCGCCCGTGCCCGCTCTGCTGGGTGCAGTGCACGTCCTGCGCATGCTGGGACTCCTCCGTACTTTGGAGAAATTCCTTTACTCACACCCCTGTTGCAGTATTTGTGATCATTTGAGAAAACCCAACTTCTGCATATTTGTCGTGAGAGGGAGTGAGGTTGTGTTCATTCAGATGTTGCCGTTTATCGAGCCCGGGTTCCATGCTGGTGGCTGGGCACTGTGTGTAATTATTTCTAAGCCTTATAATAACATTATAAGATAGGCAGTATTTCCTTTTACTGATGAGGGTATATTGGTAAAAAGTGGCTAACTAATTTGGTCAAGATAGCGCACTTGCTAGGGCCTGTCTCTGTCTGAGCTTAATTCCTTGTATATTTACTAATTCGGAGGAAGGTTCATTCTGTTGTGTGTTGTCTGGCTTTTAATCAAAGACCCATACCTCTTAAACACATTAGTGTACTTGGCAAATCCATTCTGTAGTTTACTTTTGGATTAAAAAGAGTTAACATAGGATTCGGCTTGTGGGTTCATATGGAAAGATTTGTGAAGCTGAAAGCCATTAAAAAGGAAGACTACCAGAAGATAGGAGGTCTTAGGGCCCAGCTAAGCTCCTTTAACCTTTCTTACCGCAATGGAATAGGTAACATCTCCTGCCCTTCCTGAACGTTACTTGCAATTGCAAATAAAGCTTGTGTCTAAAAACAGATCAATTTTGGATTGTGCTTCTCAGCCTCACACACCCTTTGCTCAGGTCCTTGCAGGTGACAGAGGAGGGGTGATGGTGGTGGTGGCGGCAGTAATTATGGCGGCGGCAGTAATTATGGTGGCAGCATTGACCGAGCATCTATCCTTTGTGAGGCGCTCGTGGGTCCTTGATGTGAAGAATCACATTTACTCCTTGAATTCGTCCTGTGAGGCAGGTTATGTGACTATCTTTATGGTATCGATGAGGAGATTTGAGCCACAGAGATGTTAAATAACGTGCCCAAGAGTAGTAGACTTGGGAGTTGAACCTTGTAGCTTGATTTTGGAGCCCGTTCTCTCTCTCTACAGTTTTGTCCCAAAGAATAATTTCAAATAGACTTCGTCAAAATCTTGTAAGCTGTTTAGTGACTTCTCATCCTTTTGTTTTCTAGAATTGTTTGGATCCTCTAGTTACTTACATCTCCAAGTATAATAATGTATATTTGTATGATTTTTTTTTTTTTTTTAAGTAGCACTCATTTCTTAGGGAAGTAGTTTTGATTCTTAAAAGGTAGGCTCTGGATAATGGCAAAACGTATTAGAAGTAGAAATTTTGAATCTGTGTGTAACATGAGGGTTAGGCTTGATTTTTTTTTTTTTTTTTTTTTTTCAAATATATCCAGGGCAGGAGAGAAGGAATGCTTTTAAACAGCAAATTTGTTAAAGAACCAGCTCTTATTTCATAATCAGTTTGGTATTCACATCTTCATTAGGTGCACAATTATAAGGCTTCTACATTTTAAGTTAATATTTTTAAGGCCCAGAGCCAGAAATAATTATGCTAATGCAACTTTCTGATTGCCCAAATGACTGTTCGTAATTACACATATTAGCACTCTGTGTATGTTGTCCAGACTGAAATTTCTTTTGTTTAGTCATTAATTAGCTGTTTGACTTAAAATATAACTACTGCATTCCCCCCTGTCACTGGATCTGGATTTCAGATGGCATTCTTCCAAAGCCAAACTAATGCCACACCAACAAACCTTTTCTAATGAGAATGTTCTCCTTAGATGTTCAAACCACTTTGGCTTGCTACTATTTTTGAACTATTAATGCTCTTTCTTTTGTTTTTCCTCTAGTGCAGAGTTTCTCTAGAGTAAGCAGAGTAGAGTTCGAGTTTGTACTGATCTTAAGGAAAGTTGCATCAGAGGTTTTTAGTTGATGGTAGTTTCAGAGATCTTCATATAAAATGCATCTTTTTAACTGGTAAAATGTCTTTGGAGAGGGGGTATGGCTACAGACTGGTGCAATCTAAGTGATGCCAGAGAACCAGAAGGGTCCCTTTATGGAGAGAGAATTACCCTTTTAAGTCTTGAATATTTTTGTTTCCTTTAATTTTTTATATTCAGGTAAGGAAAATGGACTTTAAGACTGAGGTTTATGACCTTATACTTCATTTTAGTTGTTTTGTTTTCATTAGAAGCCACCT